GACCGCAGCCGCCGCCCGGCCTGCTTCGGTGGCGCATCAGCGCGCGCACACGCACAGCACCCGGCAGAAGAGTCACGTAGGGTTAAACGGGGGTGGTTTGTCGCTGGGACCATGGCCCTTCCGTCGCAAGCCGGCGGTGCTGCAGGGACGGGAGCCGATGGACTGGGTGGTGGTTGCTACATCCTGGGAGGCTGTAGGCACGTAGACCTTCCCGGTGGCCAACACCACTGCAAAGGTTGTGGCCACGTCGTCCACAACCTCTGCCTGCAATATCTCCTCGGCACCGAGGACAGGAGTGACGCGGGAATTTTCTGCGGGGGCGTCGCCTGCACGACGAACATGGACGCGGCAGAAAAGTCACGGCAGATAGCCGACGGGCAGAGAGCTGGTAACGAGAGAGATGAGCGGCAGAGAGCCGAGCGCGAGCAACGACAGCGATGCGGCGCAGGGGATCGTTGCGTTGGTGGAGCTGATCAGATCTGCGCTTCGGCCTCTTGCTGTGGTTCCTCGCGCCACTTCAAATGTACGGGACTGCCGTGTCAGTCGGGCTGCTCGGCGGAAGGTGAGCTCGTGTACTTGAACACTTGAACATGTTTACGAGAAGGGACGCCCTCCTTGGGCTGTTACTATAATATAAATACGACAAATTTGAATATCACCTCTCACTAACCACAGACCACAAGGACTACGCGCTTGGATGTGGTTTCCAATTTGAACCACTGGTTTGAACTGCTTGTGTTTGTAGTGTCTCCACGGCAGGCTTGCTTCAGCTGGTTACACAGAACAGCGTAAGACAGTCCCCATGCAAACTCCTCGTGCGCGATTCTCCTCCGTCGCGCTGCGATGAAACGGGCCATGAAACGAACCCCCTTCTTTCGCCTTCCTTTTTGCTCGTTTTTTGCACATTGCTGTTTTTCGGGACAGCCGGCGGAGAGGACGACGTCACCGACCTCACTTCTGTACAAGGAAACGGTGAGGAGGAGGAGGAGGAGGAGGACGGCCAGAATGCTGAGGCACAGGAAGGTGACCACAAAGCCTCCGCGTGATTGACAGATGTCTTTGCCAGCAGACGGTGTTCCTCATGTTGACGAAGAAGTACCATGACTTTTCAAAGTGGAAAGCTACCGCTGCCGTACATTACCCCCGGGCCCCGGGCACTGGTGCGCTGCAATTGTTCTTGACCACGCGTTGCGGTTAACCGAACATGCAGATAATTCCGGGGACAGCGGTATCGCCGCGAGGCGGCCTGCCACGGGAGCGGCCGGTTCGGTCACCGGACAGGGTGCAGGAAATACACCGGTGTCGAAGGCCTCCAGTGGTGAGCGGAACCTTCGCATGCCACGAGGCCCAATGTCTGTCCGCATATCTGCCCCGTGTCGATCGTGCGTCCTATGCAGTTATAAGCTAGAAGTTGTGTGGTGAGGTCCCGCACTCATCGATGCGGAACGGATATTTACAAAAAAACATAAATATAGGAAGAAATGTGATGATGAAGAATCGGAGGGCACCCCCCCCCGTCGCTTGAATCACGAAATAATGTCGGGGGCAGGCTAGCTCTCTCTTTATTTTTTTAAGTGGTGCGAACACGTCTGCTGGCGAGGCTTAGTAAAACACGGTTTGAAAAATGTCATGCACATCGGCACGGGCTTGTTTCCAATTTACACTCACAAACTTCGCCACGCATCACGGGTGTTGGCTGTATTATCCATGGCTAACCCGTCGAGGAGAGGGCGGCATTGAGGGTTACCTCTGCTTGTTGCAGTACGATGTAACGTTCGGACCACAGCTTGGATTACCACCACCTAGTTGGTCTGAGAGAGGGATGCCCCCCCCCCCCCCTCCGCGTCCTTGAGTTGAGCGGATCGTCGACGCGTGGCGCATTCCGTCACTGATGCATGCAGTAGATAGGGCTGTGATAGTGTTTTGCACTGGGATACATGACGGGAAGAGATTTAGTTGTCCTTGGGTCAATTTTGCGTTTTCTCGCGTACGTGAGGATAATACGGATACCACCGTATGTGCGGAGGCGTTTGCCAAAATCCATGGGTTAGAGTTAAACCAATATATAACGAGTTCGGCAGTGCCTAAATATCGTGGGTCAGCAGGCCCGACAAATACATGAATTCAACAATGGGTAGGGATGGTGAGTACGACATACACGCAACGCGTGTCGGAGTCGACTACATACGCCCAGAATCACAAACACCACGCGTGCGCCTCTTGTACGGCTGACCCCATACTGCTGCACCATTGCAGCCAAGGGACGTCGCCGCAGCAGCAGCAGGAACGACGCGGACGTGCGAGGAGCTTCATCGGGTGATGATGCGTCTGGCGGCCGGTCGACGCCCACAGGAAACAGGGGGAAGCGTACAACCGCTAACAAGACCCCGGCGTCATCGAATACCCGCAAGACAAGGCACGCGAAGGAGGCCGAGGAGCAGGAGAAGTTGAAGACGTCCGTCATGCAGTTCAAGGCGGTGAAGCAGGGAATTTCGGACTGCTTCACTGCCCCGGAGTTCCTGCAAAAATTGGTAGGTGCGCTCGCTCCGCATGCGACGGACGGGGCGGCCAAGAGGGCGATCGCGAGCGCCCTCGCGAAGGAGTCGACCGCTTGGACGGATAGCGCCAAGACTAAGGGTGCCGCTGCTGAACAAGCTATTATCACCAACCTCCTTACTCCGAAGGTCACGGCAGCATGCAAGGTGATGACCAAGAATGACCATGGGTTGGGACTTGAAATGTTGGGTTGTTCCTAACGCGACGGCGATAAACTTCTTGGTCGCGTAGGTACGTCCTATGTAGACGTCGACATCAGGACGACAACAATGTGGTGGTGGTGTTTCTACTGCAACTTGGAAGTGGATGATATTTTGACAATACGAAGTAGGTTGTACCGGGCTACGTCACTGACGAACGCTAGTCTCTCACTGGCGACACCTGTGCGTCGTCATATCTTTCGTTTCGTCCCGGACGTGCAGTCGTTAGATACCTCTGTGGAAGCCGCTACCAAGGTACTCCAGGAGAAGCCCGAGGTTGCCCCTGCGCGAGGCTCGAGAGGGGTAAGGGAAGCAGAAGTCCCTCGAGTCATATGCGTTTTTGTGAAGCTGTATGTAGACTGCAAGGCGGTTAAGGAGGAGCAACTGCCAGCCTCATGCTGACGCTGGCAAAGAATTCCGTATTTCATCCCATGTCCGAAAAAAAACAAGCTTTCCTGATGCGCTAGTCGACCTTGCTCACGATGTCACTGTAGGACACTGTAAGGAGGCGTCGTGTGTGCTGGCACGTTCGGGTTGTTGCGAGGGCAGAATATCCGAAGGCCAATGCAGTCTCTCGAAAAAATCCAATCCGTAGTCTACGACGGGACCAACATTTCGAGCGGCCTCTTGTACTGCCGCCCGAAACGCGCGAGAATCAACGGGTTCCGTTTTCCCGGTGCCCTCCGTCTGGCTACTGTGTCTCGGGTGCACTTTTGTTGTTATCTTGCGTATTTTTCGAACATCAACCTACATCAAATGGGTTGGCACGTGCCCCTTTAACGGCCTTTGGGCCCCTTTAACGGCCTTTGGGGTGATAGGTTGGGTGAAATGTGCCCGCCGGGGTTGAGGTCGTTATTGGGGTGGGGGGTAGATACTTGGACCTTTCTTGCCACGCAAGCGTTGCTGACGTGACTCCGCGACCGTTCGTCGAATCGCACCTCGCAGCCTTCGGTATCCGAATTGAAGGCAGCTGCCAAGTCAGGCGCGAATCTTAACTTCCGCGAAGGATGAGATAGCCAAGGTGCAGACTGACGTCTCCAAGGTCCACTCGGACGTGAAAGACATGGGTCAGGTGGTTGTGGCGGGCATGGGTGAAGTGTTGAAGAATTCGCTCAAGGAGTTCGCACAGGCCCAGGACGAGAAGTTGAAGAAGCACGCCGAGGCCCAGGAAGAGAAACTCCGGGACTTGAAGACGCATGTGACGGAGGGTTTTCGAACAGCGTGTGACTTCATCGTCCAACAGGTGGTCTCCCAGGTACAGAGGTGAGTGTTGACGTCCTGGGGGTCAATTGTAGAGGTTGTAGAGGGGAGCACTGTTGAGAGGAGAGCACACATTATGACGTTAATGCGTGAGTGGGCGTGGGTGTGTAGGTGAAGAGATGGATATTGAAGTAACGCGACGTGGTTGTGTTGCTGGACGGTACATTTCGATCAGACGAGGCTATCACTGTAGATGAAATTGGCAAGCAACTGGAAAACAGCGTCGGAGATAGACTCAGCAAACAGACTTCGACCTGTCTTCCTTTTTTTTTCTCCATGTCTTCATCTTGTTTAGTCCGCAACGTTCGGAAATAAACCAAATCCGATCCGGATCTGTTCGCATCTCAATCTTTGCCTAAACTTGCAATGTCGCCGGATTCGTCAAGGACAGGGGGTTCAGCTGATGGTTTTAGAGTTGGAGTCAAGCTCGAAAAAAACAGAGAAAAAAACCGTGACTCAAAAACGGAGATGTGTCGATTCGTTGGACGATGTGTCGACAAGCCATTTTTAGTCTCCAACCCCGCCCAGAGAGTGCATGCAAAGGGTGGCAAGCTACTGGGGCTGCAACCTTGTAGATCTTATTTCATCTGTATCCCCCTCCGGTATCCCCCGCAACGTGCTCAGCGGCATCAGGTCTGCCTTGGACGAAGACAGAGCGGGGGAGACCCGGAAGCGAGGCCCGCAGAGGAGCCATAGGATGGGAGAGACGCCGCCTTCCGTCAGCAGGACTCCATCCAGGCGCAGTCCGCGGAACCACGAAAGCTCTTACCGAATGTGCGTAATCTCCTCACAGCAGTTGCCTTTCGCCAACTCTGGATCCGTTCACCGAAAGCTAACGTTTGTGTCGCCCCTCAGGTTGTGTTTCCCATGTCCTCACGGAATCACGTTCCTTCTTTTTTTTTGCGTTCCGATTTGTTCGTCGTACTCCGCAGTTGCAGCGACAACCAAGAAACATCGGGGTCGCGGGCAGGATTGACATTCCGCGACAATGAGATCATGCAGGTTGCGGTGGCTGCAGCCGTCGCCCAATCCCGCATGTCGCAGGGCCAGGCTCCCGGTGCCCAACAGACCCCGAACAGCAACCCCTTTGCCAATGGCATTGCTGGAGCTGCCGGGTTCATGCCCGCTAACGACATGAACCCGAGCGGGGTTCGCGGCGGCGCGAACTACGTGACTTCCCAGGGCATGGGTGGATCCGCCGGAGTCTTTCCACAGGGCTTCGCGGGGCCTAGCAGCAACAACCCGTTCAATGGTAACATGTTCGGTAGAGGTCCCTATGGTAATTGACCTTGGAGTGGTGCTGATAATCTGCCTGCTTGGAACTTCGTCTTTGCGGGTCATAGGTCAGAAGCGTGGCGGGACCCCTGGTGGTGTTCGGTAACAAGGCGTGGACAGCAAAAGTAGCTAGTAGGTTCGCTGTGGTGGCGGTGTTGGTCGATGGCGGTTTGAAGGATTACGTCAATGGCGACCACCGGTATACAAGGCGTGGACAGCAAAAGTAGCTAGTAGGTTCGCTGTGGTGGCGGTGTTGGTCGATGGCGGTTTGAAGGATTACGTCAATGGCGACCACCGGTATAGCACGGCCGTCGAGGAAGCAGGTTACGCGGGAACGGGAAGCCTTTGATAGTGCAGTGTCGATGGAATCTCGTGGTTGAGTCGTAGCAGTCTTGCCGTGGAGTCGAGACACCCTATGAAGTACGCAGCGACAATCTGGATTTTTTACAATACTACGTTGCCACAGGTTATTGTTCGTTCTGAGGAAAGCTACACAGCAGCAGCCGTGCTTTTATCGCAAGCACTAATTGAAGTCACACCGCGGTGTGCGAGCACTAATTGAAGTCACACCTCGGTGTGTGACATGCCAGAAACACAAAGCAAACCACCGGCGACATGCGACGGTCATCTCTGGGCATGTTCATGCGCACCATGAAAGTTGAAGGGTGCCAAAACCAAAATACAATAATACTGCCGTTGCAGACAGTGCCTAAAACAGCAGTTGTCTACAACAGCAGCCCATTCGAGGAGGACGGAGCAAAATATGTATCAACACAGAGGTGGTTGCGCCGGAGTCGTATCAGCAGGGCTGTATGTGGACCGGTTATACGAAGTAGCGGCAAGACCCACCTGCACCTGGAGACAAACCGAGAGAGCGACGAGCGGACCGCAGGGTCGAGTGGCCCAATGGTCCATTGGTCCATTTTTTGGCCTGTTCGTTCGCACTACGGTCTGTTCAAAACAAGCGACCTCGCCTTCTCTGGGCGGACACGGGGGCACTCTGCTCTGCGATGGGCATCTTGTCGCTGTCAAAACATGCGAAGAGTGTGGGGTCACTGAGCGTAAACCTGCAGCACGCGGAACACGATGACCGTATCATAGTGGACGGCGGCTTTCTCCTTCACCGCTGCTGTACAAGGAGGACAGCGGCACGCGATTTATTGCTACACGACGACGTCGCCCCGCTTGTCAAAGAGTGTGCTGCCGAGGTCTCGCGGTTCGAGTCGCGTGGTTTCAAGGTCACCGTAGTCCTCGATGGAAGCACTCCGCCGGCGAAGAAGAGCACTTCCGAAGCTCGCAGAACTAAGCGGGAGGCTGCAGCCAGTGAGGCCCGCGAGCTCCAAAGAACTGGGGGCCGGCTTACGGAGATCAACAAGAAGGCCAGCAATGCGTGCGTGTTCGACTCCCGCGTCGTCGCAAGGGTTGCGACGCTCTTGCGACCCCAGATAGCAGGAGAGGTTTACATCGCTCCGAGGGAGGCCGACCCACAGATCGTGATTTTCCAGGACATCTACCTAGAGACGGGGTGTACTGTGTATGTTTACGCGAACGATTCGGACTTGATCGTCCTCGGTGTTCGATCGTTGCTGTGGGACGTAAGAGGGACTGATGCGGGGAATCTCACGGGGGTGTGCATCAGGTCGAGGTTGATATTCCAACCACCGGAGTGGGCTTTCGCGATTGACGCCGAAGGCTACGCTTTTCTCCGGCAACTGCACGGGCTTCCCCGCGGGCACACGCCTAACTTACGCGCTTCTCCTCTTACCGAAGCCGCCGCCCGCCGTAGGCTGAGTTTGTTCGCCACTCTCGCCGGAAACGACTTCGCCGATTTCAAGAACATCGGCCCTGTCAGGGCGGCCAAGGTGGCCTTTGAATTGATCGAACCAGATCCTCGGGGAACAGCCGCCGTTGTGTCTTTCGAAGCGCTCGTGGGCAACTTGGCAAGGATCGTCGTGCAGGACTCCAAGGAGGAGGAAACACCAGCGGCCCTAGAGGAGGCGGAGGAAAAGCTCAGGAGGGCTCATAACATGTTCCACAATGCGGTGGTGTGGGACCCGTTGAAGAATACCCTCCGACATTTCTCCGGTGCTGCGTCTTCGCTGGCCATCACCAAAGACACAGGTCAGAGTCGTGGGGATCGTGTATGTGTAACCTGCTCCTGTCACGCCAAATATCCCCCACCTACGTGTAGTATCTCGGGGATAACATGTTCGGTGTCTGTGCCTTCTCGCTCCGCGGTAATGGCTAAACGTTTCGTCGACGTCGTGTCTATTTGCGTGCATGTATGTGTAGTCTGCAGAGCATTTAGGTCTTTCGTGCATATGCTGTGCAGCTTCTCCGAAAGATTTTTATTCGAAGCTGGACTTTGCCCATGTCGTGGCACCGGAACGAACGCAATATTTCGCCGAATCTCTAGCGCGCCCGGAAATGCGGTGGGGCACTCTAGGCAATACACAGCATACATAGTATTGTAGACGAGCTAGCTTCCGTTGTCTGTGTGTCGAACATGAAACAATACTGCTGTACCACGGTTGCTCCTGCTGTATTACCACAGGTACCCTGGAGTTTTCCTCTGTCGCCTCTGGCATAGCATCGGGGGAAGTTTCTCCTACCACGGGCCAGGTGTGGGCCCCGCCATTACTGGAGACCCGGATAGCACAAGAGTTACGCCGTGCTACACGACGGCCGGGTAGCCAGCCGCCGCCGCCGCCGCCGCCGCCGCCGCCGGGACCGACACCTACGCCGGACCAGAGTACGAGCCGGAACAAGCGCTCCCGCAACGCGGTGACTCACGACACCAACAACTACCATAAACACGGGTTTAGTCGTCTCCCCGGTGCCGAAGAAGACTTCAACAAGTGGACAGTCGCACAGCTACGCGAATTCCTCAGCGTGAGTCCAGCAGTTGCTTTCATGGTTACGTTTGGTATGCATACGGGATATTTATTTCAAGGGTTGAACAATGGCGTCGCAAACTGCCGCGCGGAAATGTTAAGGTATGTTATCGCTTGGATTATGCTAACATATGTCGGGCTTTCGAAGGACACGCAGTAATCACAGGAACGAGTGTACGAGGGCCCGTTCGTGTCGCGGCACCCCCACTGTTAACCATTTGTCACGCGTACACGCACAGTGTGTTGCGAAGAAATAATACCCTCACGTGGTCCCTGTCCTATACTCGTTGCAGGTTTTTAGGTGCCTCGACCACGCCGGTCACAGCGCGTACCTCAAGGGCCCCCTCGCCGAGCTGGCGGGGCAGGTAGTGGCGATGATCAAGAAGTGCGGGTTGCTCAACAGCAACCAAGCGTTCCGCCATCCTGTCCCGGATCTCAGCTCTTTCCAAGACAAGGAGCGCATGGTCATGCCCGAACTACCCGGCCCCCGCTCGCGGATCAGCGGCTTTGAACATCTACAGCAGCACCTCCCCGAAATGTCCAAGTCGGTGATTCTGCAGTTCCTCGGACAAGTCAACCCCATCTCTGGCGAGGGTTCGCGGGTTTGGTACAGGGGGATGCAGAAGGTGATGGATATGGGGAACCTGAACAGGTTGTGGGGCGTCCCGGCCAAGAACGGGTTGATGTATCTGGGGATGAGGTAAGTAGCCACTGGATGGTGCGACCGGAAGTCACCACGCGAGAGGTACTTACTATTGTTGTTGCTGTCACGTGCTGGTGGTGTCGTAGCCTTTCGGCAGGCCTGTAAGCGCTTCTCCCACACCGAACGCAGTCTTACCACTACCAACTACATTCGACACGCATTTCGCGCCATAGTACGCAAGATCACACCCACAACCGCCTCCCCCCCCGCCCCCTCCTGCATCCCTCATGCACTGGTAGCTTCGTGGGTGCTCTTTTGGCGCAACTCACTAGTTCACTTCTACGGTAAGAAGCCCACATTGTTAAGCCATGCTCCTGACAAATGTATACCCACCAGCCCACTTTAACGGTAAGAAACCCACTATTTTTTTTCGTGCTTCTGACGTAAATACGATCTTGCCTCGTCGATTGTACCTCACGCCATCTTCCCTACGTCCACGCTCGCTTCTGGTCAGCGCCGGTGCCTCCTTCTCGGATACGAAAACGTACGAGGTCCGCATACAGCTGCGGGTGGAGGCGTTGGACGAGAGCGCTCATCCCTCGGCAGCGGAGGAGGAGGGGCGCGGGGTAGAATCTGGGCAATGGCCGAGACCGCCCCTCGTCGCCCTTGGTGTGGTCGCCGCTCTGTGCGAGTGTCCTGCCGGCATAAGCGGGGGATGCTCCCACACTGCAATGGTCCTCTTCTTGACTCGTCTGCTGCAGATGACCGAGGACGAACTAGCCACGTTCAACCCATCTACATGTACCGGTCGAGCTTGCAGTTGGATCATGCAGAACTGTAAGGGGGGCAGGTCTGGAGAGCAGTGTTCGTTGTATGGAGAACCTCTATCGCACGGCACGAATGTGGTCAGGAAAATGCGGGATCCCCGGCGGGGCTTTGACGACGACCTTCTGGCGAAGGTGCAGGGAGTAACCGCGATCGATCGAATGCAACACTTCAACCCGCACCCCTCTGGAGGAAAGTGGGATGAACTGAAGCTCCACTTCGATGCTGGCAAGGATTTCAGTAGGTTCAAAATGGACAAGCTGCTGGCGTTCGTGGATTGTGCTAGGGGCCCGGATAACAGAGCAGTCGCCATGGATTACCTTCCGCCGCTCGTTCGTGAAGATTGCGACCTGTAGCTTTGTGGTTCCTTTTCCGTTCAGAGTGTTTTCCGTTCAGAGTGTTTTGTTAGCGGCACTCCATGTGGCCTCTCTTTGGCGACTTCTACGTAAACCTGTCTATAGGCTCGACCTTCAAGAAGTTAGTGCAACAATATTTTGTGGTAGGTTCATTTTATTGGGTGTCATTTGGGGGGGGGGGGGTCTACGCACGGGTGCCTATCATCCGTCCGTCGCGACCATACACCCCATTAATTTGTTGCAAGATGAAGCGGGGGACAAAGAGCTACCGCTCTCGCTAAATGCATGGGTTTCTTTGGCGAGTGCAATTCTTTGCCTGCCGCCTTCGCTACAACAGACTTTTTTTTTTAGCTCGCTGCACGAGCTGCGTGTATTCGCACCTGAACACGGCCCTCGTGCCCATTTTACCGTTCATCATGTGTCGACAGAAGAATCGTGCGATATGATGGAGGGTAAATAGTGATATTCTCCTGTGTTTCCCTGACACGCTTGCCTTCCGTCGACGGAACCCTAACTCAAAACAGAGAAATAGAAACAGCTAGAGTTACCGGTCGGGGGTTGGTAGGTACCATGCGAAACCCGAAGCAGTCACTGCTGCCGACCTGCCCTGAACTCAAATCTGGTAGGATGGGATTTATGGTCATTGTTCCAGAACTTGAATACACAGCGAAGTTGTTGCACTGGTTCCATTTGCTCGGATGCTCTCTTACAAAATATACACCATTAAGGAGGTGCTCCCCACAAGCGAACACTGACAACCCCGCACTAAGCCTGGGTACCCCTATATCTAGCAAGTACATCACCGTGTACGCTCACTCGCTCAGCACATCCACCCGCCGAATATGTCCGTCTACTCTTGGACGTACTTCTACTACATGTACTACATATAATTTTCCTCAAACCGCAAATGGCACAACACCAACAGAACACCACACAACATGCCCTTCAACAGGAACTCTACCACAAAACCACACAACACGCGCAACAAGGATGGTAGAGCCAACGCCACGGGGCAGCACATCCGCGCGCATACAGCGACACACGCACACACACCGTACACCCCGGTATCCCTAGCTCCGAAACGGCTGTTGCATCAAGTTTACCAAAGCAGCCACTACATGAAAGCACATCTCCATACTGAATCTCGCCGTTAACCTTGAAGGGTGGCGCGCAATAGTGAATACCCTCCCTTATCAGCAAAGGCGAGATGGAGTTGAAACCCTTGTCGGCCATCACTTTGAAACCCATGTTAGATAGACCGTTTTCCCTCATAGCGTCGACGAGACCAGACTTGCGAACGACCTCAACGTCACTCATCCTCCCTGGGTACGCGGGTCCGATATAGCAAATGGCACCCCCGGGGGTTATCGCTACAAGAACTTTAGCCGTGTGCCTGCCCTTGTACGTGGAAAAAGACACAAAATTCATGTTTGTTTGCCACGACTTGGGGATCTCTATCTCCGTGGCATCCAACGCCAACGCGCAATTCTCATAACCTAAGTCCTCGAAGTTCTTGGGGAGAAGGTCGACGACCTCTTTCGCCGAAGGCAACCGTATGACAGGACGGAGGCTGCGATAGAGGAAATTCAGCCACGTCGTGAAAGCCCTCCCCCCGGTACTCTCGTGCACACCGAATAGAGTCGACGCCACAACCAGCGGCATCGCCGTGCGCAACACCATCAACGTAAAAAATAGTCCGTTGACACCACGAAAAGTCTTGATTCGCTGGCTGTTTCCACCCGCTGAAACGCCTGCCCGTTCTCGCTGATCGAAAAACACCATGTTCTCCGCAGCGCCGTCGGCGTTCGCGAACTCGTACAGCTTCTGCAGGGTAGGGGCGGGGAGATGGGAAAAAGGGAGAAAATAGCCACGGATTATGCCGGTGAAGATTTTGTGGGCGGCTACGTGGTCACAGCGGCGGAGCAATGCCGATTTTCGGCCGAAAGCGAAATGTTTGAGCAGAGGCGTCCGCGGCTTGAGCGGAGGCGATAAAACTACAAGCAATGACCGGCGGGAATTCCAACATACCTTGGTCCTAATTTAGCGGTAGCCCGTCCTATTTTTCTTTATGCGTTAACACGACTTTTCGCGGCAAAAAAAAAAACGGCGGTACACCCGGTGTTGCCCGGTGCCCGGTGTTTGTGTAGGAAGATTGGCGCCAGGTTTTAATTACCGACACCACTTGAAAATCTGAACAAAACACTGCTTCGATTCGATCTGATAATCACCACTGCCCTAGCCAGAAAACACACGAGGTTAACCGAAAATGCACGCAAATCTCGTAGTGCACAACCATCAACTTGGACTCGTGTTGCATTTCTTACTACTGGTGTAGTAGCCGATAGACGGGATGATGACAAACACACTCACACCCGCCTATTATTGCTGTAGACCTGGACACAGCAGTAAAACCAGGACCTAACTCCTCTTGTCTCGGGCAAAACATTCCACAACCACGGGCGCCCACCACTACCGTATCTTCAGCACTGTAGGACGCGCAGCAGGTAATCCATTCCCGACTATACTGGTAGCCTACTGGGGTTGTCTGCTGTAATATGTACAACATAGACTACATGTCAGCTGTGTACTACTGTAGTTTCGAGCGACATATCTTGAACGCACGAGCTCAGCTACCATCAGTTTTTACACTATGCAACGACGTGAAAAATGGGGCATGCGTTGTATCGGGGCTGCAGGTGAGGCGGGGGTGTCAACAAGAAATACAGACATATCCCGCCAGCAGTCCGTACGTACCAGGAGAGCCTCGTGGGTGGGCACCCCCGCCAGGCAACGAACTTCTGTCGGCGTCTTTCGGCGGAGGATGTTGTGGTCGATCCCAACGTCCGCCGGCTGTGATGACCTGCCGTGTGCTCTCTGTTTATCCACCGCCTCCTTTAGCTCCGACTCTAGCAGGGAGATCCTTAGCCCCAAATCTCTACTTTTATCCTTGAGTCGTGCTTCCTCCTGAGCCCCAGCTAGCAGCGCTCTCCGATGTCGGTCGTTCAAAGCTTCGAGCTTGAGACTCCTTGCCAGGGCACCACGAGAAGCTTTGAGCATCTCCTCGTTCGTTTGGCTTGGCAGTGCTCCCTCCTTCACGTTAATCCCTACCGCTTCGCCGGTAAGGGATTTGCTCTTCACATCGGCTGCTAGGCTACCAGGAGGGAAGTGAGCGGCCGAAATCCTGGGGTCGCTCTTGGGGACTGGAAGGTCGTCTCGACCAAAAAGCGCGTTGCACCAGCTCTTGAACTTGCCAGCGTCTTTGGGTATCCGTATCGTCGCGTCTCCACCATCCTCCTCACAAAATGTTGTTTGGCAGATGCATCTATGTTTCCCCATTGTAAGCGCTGAGGATCCCTACGGCTGCTGGGCGGAGTGTGTGTTGTGTGCTCACGTGTCACCAGGCGACAACCGACAAGAGAGAGCGGGCCTGCAGGTTGCTGGTACACTGCTTGTATCGCTCAGTGAAAATTATGCGCGGAGTCCCCAATCTCGCCGCAACGTGNAGTGTCTGATGGAGCGGTGAATATTGGTGGAGGTTTCGACCCGGAGGGCGGGTTTCCCCCTGCTTCTTTTTTGCGTTGGTTTTTGTCCGTTTAGCTTCCTTTTTGGTCACATCCGGCGTGGGCATGCGCGGATGAGAATATTCAAACGGGACTGTAGGAAGTGGCTACGTAAATAGGAATTGATAGTCCCCTGGGTTGGTTTCATGGATGATTCACGGAGCTCGGACCTGCGGGAGTGCTTGCTGTGTGTGTCACGGCACTCTCTCTCTCCCGCCGCGTCCTGATCGTGGCTGCTGTCCTAAATACAAGTGATACCATTACCTTCAAAACACATACATGAGTGTACTTACTAACAAGAACCTCACTAACCATCAACAGGCTTTAATTTCCGAAAAAGGAGCAAAAAATATGGAGCGCAAGCTCTTATTCTTGGCACAAAATCGGCGGTACTGACACACTCGACGCGGCCGATTCCCGTGGTCGCCGGCTAGCTTACCGTGAAGAGGTACACTCAAATCAAACGGCCTCGAGGGGTCCGCAAGTCAATAGAAATCAACGACAGATATTTTGGAGTCCTCCACTCCCTCTGCGCGCTGTGCGAGGTAGCGCATACGTAGTATTAAATAGTGCTGGGTGCCGTTCCGACACGACCTGTCGCAGCACCGGTTGTACCCGACGGTTCGTCCGCATATCCCATTTTACACTACCGACACCTACGGCGGCTAGCAGGGAGGGTAGGGAAGGGTAACACGGCAAACAGCAGCTCGACCATTTGTCCACTCCACCACCACCATCATCTTAAATTGACCTAAACCTAGGAGATACGATACGCTCACTCACGCGTCAACGACGCTCCCAAAGCCAGGAACAAAGCACGACTAACCTTGCCCCAGTGAGCCGCCGTGTACCCTCGCCTGCACCGCCCAAGACAGCGGGGGTCGCAGTCTTTGGTGTGTACCGGCTTGAGCATAACCTATCGCCACTCTTTTTAGTACGTGGCGAGTATCCAGCTTGACGGAGTTAACCAATCGATGACGGAAAGAATTTGAGGGCCCACAAATCACCAGCAATAGAGTCCGCAACATGTGAAAAAAAAAGTGTTTTACGTAGTCAACGAATAGCGCGCGAAGGGGTGTAACATAACCACCATTCCCGTGGACGAATGTTTTCATAGGAGTCGGAGTCGACCCGGGGGGGAAACGCGGATCGTCACGCGTTCATGACTGTTTGCGCCAACACCAAAGCCAACACTATCGATTGTGCGATGAAAAGCTCCTGCTTTGTCGCATCACTTCTGGTGTAGGAGGGCGAAGTCCGTCCCGAGGGCACCGGAAACACGGTAGTCCTCGGGAGTCCCGCGGTAGGCCTTGTTGCCCATCATCACGGGGCGCCCATCCTCGTCAAGCACTGGGCGGGCCGTCTCTCCCAGAATCCCGGTCAACGATTCGTTCTCGAGGGACAGGCCGGCGAGGCCGACGTCCATCTCCCACACATCGAGGTCGGGAATGACACGGCCGTCCATTTCCACGTGGCCCCCGGTCTGGTGACCGATTCCAACGTTAAGCCGCACGACGACCTCCGGGGTGATGATCTGATAGATGGCTTGGGCGGACTGGACGTCAGACAGGTCCTTGTGGGCGATGTACTCGGTGCACCTGGCGTTACGTCCGGCCGGTGGATAAGACACGGCGGGTAGAACGTTCACGATGATGCATGCATGGCACCGAGCGCGTGCTTCCCATGCAGCTACGCAGGCATTGAGATCACAGTAAGCGTCGCAGTGTGGTTCATTCACGGAAAACATTTCCCAAGCTCGCACACCGTTTGACTTGCGCAATGACGCTGTAATCGTTCGGCATTAACTACTAGGGGGCAGGGAGCGCGTTCAAGCAGGTGAGCATGCTACTCGGTACCACCTCCTTGGACAATTTTTCGACGACGATTGTAATCCAGATGCATGCACGAACAAGCCACGCACGTATCGTACTCCGGGCGCAACAAATGCTTCCATCACTTCCACCTCTTTGGCAACGACGTCCTGCTTGAGTGACGCTTTTCACGCTGCTGCTGCCAAGCGGGGAGAGCGACTCACCAGTCGTGGGCTGCCATGTGCTTGAAGCTCAAGACCCATTCTTCGAAGGTCTCCGACAGCAGATGACGGCGCCCCTCCATGGTTTCGGCGTAGTGCCGGGCCCAGATCTTGTCCCCGCCGAACTGCCAGCACTGTACCGGGAGGTTGGCGGCGGACACTTGGATGCCACCAGGTAGGGTCTCGTCCCTGGATAGATCTTGTCCCCGCCGAACTGCCAGCACTGTACCGGGAGGTTGGCGGCGGACACTTGGATGCCACCAGGTAGGGTCTCGTCCCTGGATGCGAGTATAACAAAGGCAACATGCGCAACCACGCGGGTTGGAACGCTGGTCACTGGCATATTCATGGTTTGGGCTGTTTTACGATTTTTTCCACAGGTGTAAGCCTTCAGGAAAAAGCGCGTCCACTACCGACTGAAAATGCGCAAGATTCAACGCCTTTACGAGAACGAGCCGGGCTAACGCGCGGCACACAGGAGGCGAGGAGGCACAACAAACAACCCACTGTTTCCATGAGGATAAAAGGTGGGGTCGAACGTTTTTCATGACGGCATACTCGCAAACACTACGCACGCGCCGTCAGACCAAACAGAGAGCGAGGATGAAGGCCAAACCGAGCGGTCCGCTACAGCACCCCAGCCTCACTGCAGTACTTCTGCGATCTTTGTTCACTTAGCATCGTCATCATCGTCAGCAAACAACATATATTGTCCAATTTTAGTGTCCTCGATCGCAAAATGGAGGCGAGCCGAACGTGCCCGGCCCATCCCTTGGAACACCCAACCGGCCAACGTGAAGGAGCGGTAAGTACCGACCCAACCTACAGTACCAACAAAAGAAACGACTTTCTTGGATACTCCTGGACACGCGACGGCTTGCCACGCTCTAACGCCGTTACGGCCCACAGTTTTTTCCTTCCAAACCGACTTACGGTTTTCAAGGCATGGGGACGGTAATGTAGTACCTGATGGTGTGCAGTAGGGGAGAATCGTCGGCTTCTTTCTCGCCATCCACGGTGACGCTCAGTCCGCCGTTTGCCAGGCAAGGTGCCGGCGCCCCGTCGGGGCAACCTCCGGCCGTGTCAGTGTCGTAGGGGTTCGTCACCTAAGTCGATCGTTCGTCGCGTGTAACGGAAGGCTTTGAAAGGCACGGCAGTTTCTCCCAGGCCATCACGTTTCGAAACACCGTCTACGTACCAATCTATTGAATACGTACGTTGTGTCGCATCAAAAGGCCAGCTAGGAGGAGAGTGATCTCCACGGCCGGACCCCTCGCCAGTCTTGTGATGGTGTATAAAGAGTGTACACTTGGCGTAAAAGCGTCGTAGCTGGGATTCGAACCCGCGTCGGTACCGAGCCTTTTGCTAAAAAGGTTAACGGATTGGACGACTCCAGCGAATCAGCGGCTGACTGGTCTGTTGGTGCAAATATGTCTGCAGTAATTACCCACTGAAAAATCTAACACAGGCATAACACCGATGATTTAGGTACTCGGCAGAGATATGTACTCTCGACGCACATCTCCACCACTCACACCTCCCCCTAAACAGTGCATTGCATCGAGGGCCGCACCTCGATAACGAGCGAGTGGCCCCTTGCCATAACCGAGAGTCCGGTGACCAGCTGGCGGTCAGGGAACTCTTCGGGGAGAGGTGCCGTGAGCCGCACTACCGAGAGTCCGGTGACCAGCTGGCGGTCAGGGAACTCTTCGGGGAGAGGTGCCGTGAGCCGCACATTCACGTTCAGATCAATGTCAGGGTCCCGAACAAAGGAGTACCATCCACCGTCGACGCCAAACCAGTCGATGTTCTGGCCGAAGAGGCCTTTCATGTGGGGGTCCAAGCAGAGGTTGGTACCGTCCGGGCAAGCAGCTGAAAATTGTACAGGCGCGCGGCGCGGGGAGTGGCGAGGGGTCAAGGACGGCCGTCGACCATGTTTTAGTTATTTTCTCTCCGCGCGACGGCTCGGCTTGACCGGGAGCAATTCCAAGGTCGCTTCTGGTGTAGGCAAGAGTAAATCGGAAGTACAGCTACGTCGGGGGGTGCAAACAAGATATAGATCTGTGTTCGACCCGGTTTCGTCTTGCAGGTGCGGCGACGGGGTTGGACATTTTACGGGCGGCGTGTCAAAATGGGGAAATGGAGAATCAGTCATATGGAAGAAAAGATGGTGTACGCATCTTAACAGCCTAGGAAAATCAATTTCGCACAACAACTTACGGCAGACAAATGCGTTCTCATTGGCCTCTTCATTGTAGCACGTGTTGGTGAACGCGCAACATTCCAGTCCCTCTGCGCAGGGGGGGTCCTCGTCCAAGCAATCGCAACCATTTGCACCCGTCTGCGCATTAGGACCATCACACGGGGGACCTGCATCACGGGGTTTAGGAGCCGGCAAAAACGTTCACCAGAGGATGGGACAAGAGTTCAGGAAATATACGAATGAGGGCAGGAAGCACGAAAAAATACCTGTCGATTTTGTCCAGCCGTTCGAGTGTGCGAGTTGTGAGAAATGGCGGAAAAGTCTGTGATCAAAGGCGCGTCCGTCCCGCGTTTGCCTTGGTCGAAGCGATCACGTCGGTTTTTGGTTCATACCCACGTCCAGCGCGTGACTGCGTCATCACGGGGACTTCACGCTGTGTTGCAGCCATTATTCCGACTCTTGGGTGTACGGATTATGATGGAAGTTGATTAGCAAAACTGAATGCCGAAATACAGATTTCCTTACTAGTTTAGGTTGTTATCGCTTTTACCACCCCGCACTGCTCTCACTTTCACTTACCCTGAGCGTGGACGTTGGCGACGAACAGCAGAGCTGCGAGAAGCGCAAACGCTGACGTCATCGTACGCTTCCAAAGAATAAAGGACACTTGCATGGTGTGTGGCTGTTGCTACTTTTAGGGGTGGGGGAGGATTCACGAGACAGTGGAAAACCACCGCATGATGGTTAGCAGGGTACTGAATAGCCCCAGCGCCCCCACCGGGGGCGCGGGAGCTCGAATCGCAAGCGAGAATAATCGACAACGGTGAAATGGACAGAAAAATGAAGATGGCGACGAAGTTGGAAAGCTGATAAGAATTGTTCCCGTGCGCGGGTGAGAGTGGAAAGACGTAGCACCGCGTAATGTGTGGTGAGAACGCACGGGTGCCTGTGTGTGAAGGTGATGTACGCCTGAAAAATAGATGTTTTTTGTGGAGATGCTAGTGCAGAGCAGTCCGATAACGGCGTGGAGGCTGCAGCATCCGAAGAAACATGCAGAAAAAGAAACCAACAACACCGCGAAGAATGACTGTAACATCTACGCCGCAAGTAGTGCCGCCAAGGTTCGCGTGACGCTGACGCCTTGCCCGGTGAGTGGCGATGAAAGTTATGGTGATACGCGACAACTAATGTACAGGTCCCCGACTGCCTGGAGTTTGAATTGAATGTAGACCTCAACACCATTTCACGGTTCCATTGGTTCCGTGTAAAAAACAATCGTGAAAAGTCTGCGCGGGTCCGCTGAGCAAGCGGCTTGCATACAGCACACCAGCTGAGAGTAAAAGTGCGTTAAGGTTGCGTAAGGCGTTCGTTGAAGCAAGTCGATGGAACACAAAATGTAGTTGTAGGCGTTTCGCGATAGAACGGAAAGGCGGGGCAAGGCGTTTTGCGTGGTGATCGTGGTCGGTGTCGTACTGCTGTTGACCCGTGGCAGTGGAATGCGAGTTCTCCGCTACAGCAACAGCAGTGCTGCAAACAATCTATGTGTGCATCTTCACGGCTTGACGGCCTTCCGTACCCGTTGTATGGCCGGGTTATAATCCTGTTCTCCTGTGCTTCGGTGCTGGTGTGCACACGTGGCTGTCACGCAAATTTTCTTCAACTGACCAAACCCCAAGTTCGCAAACTCGCCAACGCGCGCGACCCAGCGCCCGAACCCTAAAAACACATGTGAGACGCGTTGAAGGAAAGTCCACACTGATGTTGCAAGTGTGAGAGTACATGTTCCGTTAGTCAAACGTTTTGGCGGTCGGGGGCAGCTCAAGGCCATCGTGCCCAGACAAAAACAAATGTGTGCAGCGTGCGCAAGGAAAAACATGACGAAAAAACAAAACTTCACGTACTCTGCTTCAAGTGGTACGACGGGATGAATCAAGTGCTTCGTACATCTAAAACTCACGGTGATATCCCGGGAATAATGGTGGTCAAATATCATGTTGTGCAGGGTGGAGAACGCTCACTCTGCGCAAGGGGGCTGATCGCACAACGTTGTGCGAAAATGGTCCAAGCATCCTCGAGGCATTCCAACAGTGTTTATTACTGTCTCCGGAAATGACCGCACCAGTATCACTATGTACCTTGACTTGGCGGGTTAGGTGAGGTTGTGTGTATTCGGAAAAAAAATGTTTCTTCTTCGTTCGATCTGTCTCCCCCGATCGTTACCCCCCTTTTTTTGCCCATCGATGCCGCAACAATTATATTCCGGTTCTGCCCGAACTCCCTAACAATGCACGACTCAACAGCGGCGTAGCACCTAGACTGGATCCGACGCACGTACCGGATCACCTCTCGTGTATAGGCTAGATAGACTAAAGCGTTACTGGAAGTGTATAGACTAGTCTATAGAGAACAATCCACACGGGCATTTACGACGATATTTCGTAGATAGATCCATCAGAATCAATCTACGATGTTCAGCGCGGAGATCCCGACGTACGTATTTTGGATATATTTCTCTGAACAGCATGTTCCATGTTCGTTCGCAGGTAGGGGGCGGATTGTCATGGAAACATACGACAGCAGTAGTCGAAGACGAGGCACCACAGGAAATTGATGTACATGTTAACAAACCAACCCCAAAAAAAACAAAAGGCGGGAAAAGCAGAAGCTCGTTGCGAGCACTACAAACAAACCTCAACGTTACTAGCACCAGTTCAAACGCGACGGCTGGATGGACCCTTCTCGCGGAGAAAAAAAAAAGCGGAAAAAAGTTAAACACGCACCGCGGGAGGAATGTTGGGCACGGGAAGAAAAAGAAAAAGTCTATGACTCTTTTCTAGATAGAGATAGACTCGTTGTGTCATATTAAGAAAAATAAAAAAAAAGACAACCCGTAAGGGAAGGTAGACCGAGGTGATAAATGCGTTGTGCCTTGCGAAGAATACAACCGCCGATCGATCCGATCGGATAGGTGCAGAAGAAGAATTCATCAAACCCTGTCGGTCCGCACAGAGCAGCGTCCAGCAGGCAGGTGAACACAGGTGAAGGTGTGTGTGGGTCTTGGTTCGACCCTGTATGTGCCCACCGTCCTGTCGCTGGCAGCGCTCATGGCCTATGGGTGGAGATTGCTGTTCCCTCTACAGAAGTACACGCGTCTCTTCGTGCTGTACTTCCGTCTCTCTCTCCCGCATTCTCTCCTCCTGCCTATTTCTTTTTTGCTGAAAAAAAAAAATGCCACC